TCTTCATTTGTTTACGTGGGGGGGAACTGGCGGAGAGACGGCGAAGCACTAAGGTGCGAGCACTGCGGGTCTGTAGGCACCAGTGCTCAGTCGGACTGGCAGTGGTGAGCATGCCTGTGTGCCAGGCAGTGGGGACAGTGCCTAGGTGCTAACTCACTTCCCCTCAGCTCCATCTGGTGGGGAGGATCGCTGTCACCTCTCCGGGCACAGCGCAGACAGGCCCACACACGCAGGCAGAGCTGGGGTTCCAACCCTTTGGATCCATGCCCTTAACCTCTGCACAGCACTCCTGCCCAAGGAAGCTCGTGAGTCTCTGCATTTGAAGCTCTCCTTAGAGTATCAACCACAACTAAAAATACATAGATGTACAAATCTGCGAAGATTTCTACAAAAATAGCTCTGCCTTGTGGTTTCACAAGTGAGAGGTCTACACCGTGTGACACGACGGTAAACAGGTGCTGCTGTCTTTCTTGGATCTGTCTCAGCCTTGAGTTATTATTATCATTGCCACGTTTTATTGCCACATTAATCACCAAGCAGACCGAGAGGGATTAATGGCGTTAATTATTTCTAGATACCGCGTTTGGACGAGGGCTCGTGCGGCGACTGGGCCCTGGCGCTGTGCTTGCTCAGCAGAGGAGCAGACGCGCTGCACTATGACCACTTCCGAAGACTCTGTCACATCGGTGTCCCCTTGTCACACCTTGCCAATGTTCTCTGCAGTTAGTCATGCAGCTCTTTTATTTCTGGTCCCTTCATAGAACACATCTGAGCTGTAGTTTAAAGTTGAAATGATTCAGAGATCATTTTTTGGTTTTCTTTTTTTAACAGGTTTTTGCTTTAGGGCACATGTGCTTTCCAGAGAGAGAAAGAGACAGAGTTAGAGAGGCAGAAAGTGAGAATTCAACCCCCAGGGTCATGGCCGTGCCACAGTCTCTTCTCTTCCATTCTCCTCTGACATGGTGTGATTTTCAAGCCACAGGATCCAGGACTTGAACCATAGTTGGCCATGTTAGAATCCAGCGACATAACCACTATGCCGTGTGCTGGCCCTCGAAGATCATCTTTGAACAGGCATCTGCATTTGTTTGCTGGGCTGCCACAACAATAGCATTGTCCCAGTGGCCGAGACGGCAGGTGCTTATTTCTCATAGATCTGGAGTCTGGGAGTCCAAGGTCAGGGTGTTGCTGAGTCTGGCTTCTCCTGAGCCTTTCTCCTCGGTCCACTGCCTGCTCGCTGCATCCTCTCGTGGCCTTTCCTCCGAGTGCTCTGTGCACCCTGGCACCTCCTCCTTTTCTCACAAGGACACCAGTCCTGGCAGATTCAGGCCCACTCTGTGGACCTCACTTTTACTTCGTCCCCTCTTTAAAGGCCCCGTCTCCCAGCCTGCATTTATGAGTGTTGACACTTAACTCAGGAATTCTAGGGAAACAGTTCAGCCCATTACAACATCTTGGATCGATTTCTGGTGGGTGAGGGATGAGGGCGAGGGTGAATAAACAAACAAACAAACAAACAAAAATCTCAGTGAGACGGTTCTAGGCTCTTGTAGCCAAAAACATTCACAGCTGTCAGAACGTACATTTCAGGAGAGTGGGAAATTAACACACTCGTTTTATTGCCAACCTCCATATTTAATGGTGCAGTAGACTACATATCCGGGGAAATCTTAGATTAAAAAGCTACCTGGAAATGGCCCCTCTCCGGTTTGGTTTGGTTTTGGTTTTAACCTATGCTCGTGAGGAGGAGTCCTGAGGAACTAAAAATGAAGGAGCCAAAATTCAGACGGCTAGCCTTCCGCTGGTGCTCACGGGAGGCGGGGAGCACTCGAGGCCCCAGCATAAAGTGGGGACTCAGAGGCTAAACCCAGGAAGGATGCAGAAAGGAAAGCTGCCCAGCAGCACAGCGTGATGGCCAGGAGCCTGGGCTGTCCCAGCCCGGGTCCAAATGGAGACCACATCTCCTCGAGAATTTGTTTCTTCTGGAGTTTTCTATTATGAGAAATCCGCTGTAGAAGGATGGCAGGTGCCCGTGCTCCTAGTCGAAGAGTAACCCGTCTCACTCGAGGGCTGCTGTTCACACTGCAGGCCCCATAGGATTCCCTGATGAGGCCCAGTGAAGACAGGCTCACAATCCATGATCACCCAGCTCAAGAGCAAGAACTGGCAGACAGACAGGAACAGCAGGAGTCGACTCCCAGGGGCCTCGGTTAATAAAGTGATCGAATACATGAAGGGACTTCCAGCCGTTCATGGAAAATGGAATTAGGGATAAGCTTATTTTGTTACCAAAAAAGCTGAAATCTATTCAGTGTTCTCTCATAATACACACTTCCATGAGCTTTTTGAAACCCTATTGAACAAAAAGCAAGACAAGTAAGCCTAAAATGATTACATCGAGGAAGGGATGGGAAACATAAAGTCCCCGTCCAGTGAAGACCTGATGAATTCTGGAAATGGAAATAAAACTAGGAGTCAATTGATGGGGTAAAAAGCGGAGTTTGGGATTACTGAACAGCATTGTTTTCTTCTTTCCAAAGCAGCATGTCCCCTTCTGTGGAAAAGGAGGGTGGAGGGGGAGGGAGACTGAGGGTCCACACTCGGCTGGCGGGCACGCTGTGTGAGCACAGTTCTTCAGTTGACGGGCTCTCTCCTGCCCTTCGCACATGGGCAGCTGCCATGAGACCTTGAGGCACAGGCGTCTTCATCTCCCCGAGGTCAGGGGCAGGCAAAGGCTCCCGGGGACATCAAAGGCTAATAAATGTGACACGTGTAAGCCTGAGGCTACTGCCAGTCTGTTTATCAGCAGTGTAGACACGCGTCCTGGGCTGTGGTAGTTCAGCAGTCCAGCTAAATCCGGCCCCCACTGGAGGACGGCATCATGTGGTGCCAGCTGTAGAGAGGCAGAGGACTGAGTAGCTCTCGGGGAAGGGTGGGGCTCGGGGAGGCCTGCGCCGGGGACCTGGGCCCGCAGAGAGAGAGGAGGGGTCTACCATCTGCACAGTGCTCCTCCCGTGCCAGGACCCATGGAACTCCTCCTTCCTCCTGTGAGCATCTCACACTTAGGCTTACCCGCTTTCTGTGGATGAAGCGGTGAGGCCTTGAGAATCTGGGTGGTAGTCTGAGACCTCACAGCCAGCACATGGAGGAACTTGCTGGTTCAAAGCACGTGCTGGTGACCACAGCGCAAGGCTCACTCTGGGACCTAGGGCCAGCATTCCCAAGCTCTTCTCCATGGATCATGGTCATCCTCAAGGACGGTAACTGGTATGACTGCAGACAAACGAGAAAGGAAGTCTTGTGGCCAGATGGATGTGGAAGGGACCGCGTGCCCCGCCCGCTTCACATCTTCCTGGGGCAGGTTGGCACGCTGGAGGCCAAGAAGGTCTCTCCTGAGGAAACCCACCTAACCGTGTTCAGCCTAGCATGTCCCTTATGAGAGCCTAGAACCCTGGGTCCTCCCTGCCCCTCTTGCAAAACAGTGTCAACATGGCAGCCTTTAGGGAAACGCAAGTCGGACCGCAGTGAGAGCACTTCACACCCACTAGGATGGCTACAATGAAAAGAGAAACGATAATGAGTATAGACGAACTTGTGGAGGGACTAGAACCCACATACTGATGGGAATGGAAAGTAGTGCCATGGGGACCAGCAGATGGCGTAATGACTATGTCGCTGGACTCCCATGTCGTCGACCATGGTTCTAGTCCCAGACCCAGTGGCTTGAACTCATGCGGGGCATGTGTGTGTGTGTGCCCAAGATCCTGAGAGGAGAATAGAGGAGAAGGGATTGCAGTACGGCCGTTCCCCCTGGGGGGTGATTTCTCGCTTTCTGTCTCTGTCTCTCTCTGTCTTTCTGGTGAGCCCACATGCCCTATAGCAAAAACCTCTCCAAAAAGAAAGAAAAGAAAGAAAGTCGTGCCGTGGCCTTGGAAAGCAGTTTGGCAGTTCTCCGAGTGGGTAGACACAGCGTGACCCTGTTCCCAGTAGCTCCCCCCCCACAGTGTGTTCCCAGGGAAGTGAAGGCACGTCCACAGGAAGGCCTGAGTGCGAGCTGCTCAGAGTCGCACTGTTCAGAGCAGCCAAAGTGGAAGCAGCCCGGGCATCCCCCAGCGGATGAAGGGACGGCTAGAACGCTGGATATCCGTGCAGCGGAATACTGTTTAGCAATAAAAAGCAGTGAGACACTGCGTCATGCCACAGAGCACAAGGAGAATATGCCAAGTGAGGGGAGCCAGTCACCAAAGAACGCGCGTTTTCTGATATCAGCGGCCAGCTGTCCAGGTGACTCGCTGCCCGGAGCTGGTGAAAGGGGAGTGCGGAGGGACTGCTAAGGGTGCAGGGTTTCTGTTGGGATGATGGACCCATTCTGAGAATAGTCATGGTGCTTGTCCTCTGTGCTCCAAGCCACTGATTGCCCTGTTAACATGGATGGGTAAGTTGTGTCCTACGTGACTGCTACGTCCATGAAGCTGTTTGTGAAAGCTGAATTAACGTCGAACAGCAGTAGAGTTTCACAACACAGTTCGGGAAAAGCTGCCATGGAAGTCTTTGCTGCCACTTGACTAGACTGTGTCTGGCACAGAAGCTGTCCCAGGTCACCCATGGCTCTGGCACCCATCACGAGCATCACAGATGTTTGAGAGAGCAAATATGACAGGGCAAGCTTTAACCGAGCCCTGTGTCAGGTTGAGGGGAACTGCAGGGCAGCCGCTCTCTCCACGCGGTTCGGACTCTGGTTGCTCTTACAGATCTCTTGAGAAGCAAGCACAAAACAAAACAAGGGCTTGGAAGGTTTCTAAGTGGATCTGGGGGGAGCGATCATTGAGCACTTGGCCATGTGCAGTCTCCCCCAAAGGACGCTAACCTGCCCCAGTTAAGGAAAGTCACGGCTGGGTCCTCTGACCAGTGGCCAGAGGGCGCCAAGGCCCCTCAAGCTGGTCTGCTGTGGCAGTGGTCCCATTGTCACGTTCCTCACACCCCCTCTGTTCTCGTTCCAGTGAAAGCTGGTGGGATGCGGATTGTGCAGAAACACCCACATGCTGGAGACGCCAAGGAAGACAAAGACAAGGATGACCAGGAGTGGGAAAGCCCCAGGTGGGAGAGCGCTGGTGCCCGTCGGGCAGGTTCCCGTGGAGCCACTGTCGGTTAAACATTAACGTTCTCTGTTCTGTGCTTCCAATCAGTCTTCACCCGCTCCCCACCCCACCAACCAAGGCCGCTGCGCCTTTCCGTCTGCGTCTTGCGGGGCAGGAAAGCTGCATTCAGGTCGGCGGGTGGAGACCTCCGCCTGGGCCTGTGGGTCAAGCCAGTTGTGCTCCCCACGGGAAGCTAGGGGCCTCACAGAGCAGGCGGGGCACCCCGGGAACAGCTTCTGTGCCTCTGGGCTCTCTGGTGGAGCACACCGCCGCCAGGCAGGCAGGACCGCGAGAGTGGGGGAAATAGGCAATGGCAGGTCCTTGGCTGTTTCCATTCATCATCCCAGAGGTGCAGGCTTGCCATCTGGGGCGGGAGTCAACCTGAGCTACAATACTGAAACCACCTGCAGACCTCGAGGGCCGCCCAGCACCCGAGGCTCAGGGCTGGGCCGGCTGGCCGTGCGGACAGCACAGAGAACTTCGGGTTTAAGGACCACCTGCGGGAATTTGGGCTCCCTTGTGTTTCAGCCACATCTACGCTCAGTGAGGCCACACGCTCATGAGTGACCGGTACCCTTAAATGACATTACTGCCCCCAGCCCTCCTCGGTCCTGACAGGAGTCTCCCTGCAGTTCATCCCATTCTGTTTTCCTTGGAAGTTCTCAGTTCGAGGTTGGTGAAGACCTCCATACAAAGTCAACTCCTTCACCTCGTAATGCTCAGCCTTGCCCCACGGTGCATGTACCTCTTTACCCACGTGGAATAAGGGGCGTGTCGCACGTTCTGCTTGGAGCTCGTCTCCAGATGTCATCTCAGCCAGTGGAGGGAGGGAAGAGGGGAGGGGAAAAGAGGGCGTGGAAGAAGCTAAGTGCTATTTCTGCTTGCCGGGCATAGGATTTCATCCCAGAAGCCCTGAGTAGCAGGTGGCATGCTCCCTGCTTCCCCCATGAGGGAATGGAACCCGGCAGAGGAATAGACCTGCCCCATTGGGCACCTTGCCAGTTAATGCAGAAGGGTTGAACAGTGTCCAGGATGGCCAGGCTTCCAAAAGAGCAGCTCCTGAGGACACCGTGCGCCCCAAGGAGGACACGCGGTCTTGGTGACTCCACACATCTGTGACTCTGTCCCCACTGCTGGGTATTTTCTGTATACCTTTGTATGGTCTGAGTTATAGTGAAGTCACTCCATGGGCGCGACATTGTGGGTGACGTTTCTGAGTGATTATTGCTCATTTTAAATCATGAGGCCAGCAACTTGAAGGCTCAACCCAAGTTCTGGTTTGAAAAGAAGACGGTTTAAAGAAAATTGTAGTGGCCCTTGTCACTGACAGTTTCCATCAAGCCAGGCTTGGAACACAGCAGCATCAGTGACTCCTGCAGGTCCACAGTCCCATGTCTGGAAGCCTTGGGGCCCAGTTTATTCAGAATTCAAAGCTGTGAGGGTTTCAGGAGCACAGTGCAGATAGCAGGAGGATAAAACTGCACCCGGCGGGGTCTCAGTATGTTGTGATCTGTGTAACGTTCAAACCGAGCGAGATCAGTTTTTAAAATTTAGGAACTTGGGTCAGCTCAGGTTGAGTTTTTGCATCCATGAGTTATAAGGAAACTTTGGGTTTCCAGAACATTCTTGAATTTGGACTAGAGAACAAAGCGTGTGGGACTATAGGAATTTCCTCCTCCAGGAAACCTGGGGTGTCGTCACCCTTATTTACATCAGCTTATTTTGTAAGAAAGAAGAAACACCCAATGGTGGCATGATGGTTAAGGCACTGGACTCCCACCTAGACGACTGCAATTTGAGTCCTGGCCCTGGTGCTTGAAAAATCACACTTATCATGTGTGCATGCTTGCCCAAAATCTCGAGAGGAAAATGGAGAAGAGATTGTGGCATGGCCATCTCCCCTGGGTGGTGAGTTCTTACTTTCCCTCTCAAAGTCTCTCTGGCAAGCACATGCACCCTATGGCAAAAACCTAAAATAATAATAATAACAATAATAATAATAAAAGAAAGAAGGAAAAGGATGAGAGACAAAACCTTGTCTGGGAAAAAACAATCCTAGAAAGTTACTGAAATGCATGCTTTTCTGTGTGAGTTTAAGTGAAATAAGGCTCAAACAGCTACTTAGTTCCCTGCATAACTGTATCAGTATAGCAGGAGATGACCATTTTTCAGTGTGTTTGGAAATAAGGACAGAGTGGCCCCATTAGTTTTCTTTCTATTGTTTTTTTTCATGAGTTGGAACTTAAATAAACATACCAGAGGATGCATGATTGCAAGAGGAAAGACCGAGCACCCCAGCACTAAGATTTCAGCGTCTCACTCACCATAAGGACTTGTTCTCTATCTCCATAGAACCAGATATGTTGAAGCATGCCTCCTGGAGGGGAGGGTTTGCATAAGACACCAACAGGGCTGTTGTCCTCTGCGGCCAGACGGCTGTGGGTGTGTTAGCTGCCATCCTCTTGACCTCCACATGGCCCTTCTCCACTGGGGTTAAGCCACTTGACACAGTGTTTACAGAGTTGAGTGAGCTTATGTGTACGCTTAAGCTATCAATGTATGTTGCCAGAACAGCACCTTCTAAAACTCTGCATCAGTCCTGGCATGGCACTCTCTGTAATAGTTTCCTGCTACCACTGGGCACACCCCATTTTTCTCCGTGGGCTGCTTGAATAATCATAGTTCATGATAATCATGGCTAGTTCAAATGGACTGCAGTGAGCCTGCCCCTTGTTAAGTTCTCTGCCTGTATCAATCCATTTGATCCTTGAAAGTATTTTATTTGCTATCATCCCTATTTCAAAGTTGGTTACTGAATATTATCGCCAATACAGATTACCACTTGCCTTTCAGTGGCTCAGAGAGTTAAGTGACGTTTTCAAGTCACACAGCAAATAAGCTGCAGAGCCAATACTCCAATGTAGGTGACAAGTTCAATTCCTCACCCTATCACAAAGCCACGCTTTACCGGTTGAACTCATGTTGTGTGCTGGCCCCTTACTAAGGTCTTCCCATTGAGTTTAATATTTGTACCACCTATAAATTGGCATAACTATGCCCATTATATAGGCTTAAAAGACAAGCTTAAGGAGTGATTTGTAGTCAGGCATCATGGCCTGGCCAGGAGTTAGTCCTGAGTCTCTTTTGGGTTGGAAGCTCAGTCCTCTAATATGTTATAGAAACTTCTTGATTGACATAGACTACAATGCATGTCCCTTTCAGCTTACTGATTCTGGGGTTGCCCATAGCCTTGGCCATTCTCAAGCCTGTTACACTGCCTGTCTGCAGCCTCACCATCAACGGCTAGTCTCCTCAGATCACAGCAAGGCTTCCGGGGTGGGGCTGCTTTTTCTTTATGGGTGAAAAGGTCTATGCTATTTATTTGCCGAATTTATAAAACATCTGATTATCCTCTTGGAAATGCCTATGGCATGTAACTTTACTATCTGCACACTTTAATCCTAAAGTATTGTTTCCCATGTTTTGAGCCAAGTATTCTCCAAATACAAAATAAGACAACAGCGTCAGCTGCCAGTTTCCTCGCGCTGGGGCTACATTTGCAAGACTCTATTTTCCTTCCCAGATAGTAAAGATGAGCTTTAAGTTTAAAGTTTACTGACTCATCTCTGGTGGCTTCCTTCCCCATTAATTGGAAAATGGAACAACTGGAGCATTAAAGAGGTTATTATGTAACAAAAGCAACCACCAAAGAAAGGTCTGGGACTCTTACTAGTCATGCTTTCTCTTGCAAATGTTTATGCCACTCCCCCCCCCAACCTGGTAATTTTCCAGAGATTTAAAAAGGATTTCTTATGGGGCCAAGTTGTTTTGAGATGCCGAATTAAAAAAAAAAGTTTCAGAATGTGAAAATGTTGCTCAAGAATTTCCATGAAGCTGCGTTCTAGTTACCTGAGATTCCTCCTCCCCAGGAAGTCCTAGGCTTCATCGTGATTATTAGCAAATACTTTCCCAAGCGGCTGCCAGATTCCATCTCTGCACCCAATTAAGGAGAGCAGTGATTTTCCTCAAAGCCTTTTGTCAAGTGTAATAAGCTGAATTACCCAGATCCGTGCTGTAAAGGAAAAGCTGCAGACGTGGAACGGACTCAGAAGTCGAGATTTTCTGAAGGCACCTGTTTAACATGGAACGTGACTGAGGTCCGGCCACGGACTGAGCTTGGTGGCAGAAGGGGCAAACCCGAAACGAATCCGCTTGTCCCCTCCCAGGGTTGGGTGGGAGAGGTGGAAAGGAGGAGATGGGGAGGAAGTGGCCCCTCTGTATGCAGCTCTTTGTGTGACTCTGACTTAGAACTGTGATCCTTCCTCACGTAGCAGAGAGACCCGCCAACCCTTCACGCCTGCCAGGACCGGGAGGGAGGCAAGATGGCTTACAGACAGTAACAACTGAGCCTAATTAGAGGCGGGCGCTGCAAGGTGCTTCAAAGAGTTCGTGAAAAAATGAAATCAAAGTACAAGGTTATTTTGGTGCAAAACAATTTGAAATCTATGCCGTTTTTGCATGATACACATTTTCTGTGAATGTTTTGAAGACCTCCCTCGTATAACCACATTGAAAAGAATAAGGCACCACCTAAGTAACTGTGGGAGGCAGTACTTTGATTATATATATTTTAAAAGGCTACGGCAAGAAAGACACTACCAGTGTTGTACTGCAGTTGGAAATGGGTTTCCATTGGGAGTCTGGGTCAGCGATTCTGGAACTGCCTTACGTGGACCCTAGGCTTGGCCAAATAAGTAAATACATCGTGAACCATGGGCCCAGTTTCTTACCGGCAGAGAGATCACAGATAGGAAAGGGGAAAAGGGAAATGAGTTTGTGTTGTTGGATGGGAGTTGGAGGTATCTGTGTGAGCTCGTGCTTTTCGAGGGATGGTGGGTGGATGGATGCACACACGGACATACAGAACCAATGTGTTGATCCGTGAGGAGTTAGGGTAGA